TCCCCGCCCCTACGGGGACGGGGATGGGGACAGAAATAGGGGATAGAGGATGGGGATGGGGGCAATTTTGAATTCCCCGCCGGGGACGGGGGCGGGGATGGGGAGTACTCTCCCCGCCCCGCCCCGTCCCCGATATATATATATATATATATATATATATATATATATATATATATATATATATATATTGCCACACAACACACACAAATGTAGTACTTTGTATACAATATATATAATTTTAGAAGTATTCTTGTCATTGTATGTCATGCATATTTTTAAATAAAATGTTTAATTGTAAAATATTGAATACAACTTTGAGTTGGGGATGAATATATATGCGTTATTTATTTAAATGTTTTTTAATGTTTAATTTTTATTTTTTTTTATAACTTGTTAACGGGGTGGGGATTCCCCGTCCCCGAATAATCCCCGTGGGGATGGGGGGAATTTTTCATTCCCCGGCGGGGATGGGGATGGGGACGGGGAATGGGAAGAAAGTCGGGGACGGGGATGGGGGGTATGTCCCCTGCCCCCACCCCGCCCCATTGACATCCCTAGCCGCGCATCCAGAAGTCCAATGAAATCCCTTCAATGGAGAGCTAATTCTGATGCAGTCCGCTTCACTGACGCAGTCCCACGTTGTTCCCACAACTGAGTGATCTTCGCGTCCACTGGTTTAAGCATGATTGATTCTTCTCAAGTTCATCTTCTTAAGCACCATGAACTGTATTTCTTGAGAAGGAATGGAATAGCCAGAACTGTGTATTCTTTTTGTATTGAGAGTATTGGCTTCAAAGCATTCGTCCCTAACTTATGAAGACTTGTATGCATAAATACTTCTTGCCTTTGATTCTCTCCAAAAATAGCTCTGGATGTAAAAGGTAGGACTTGTATAGCTAATCAATCTTGATTTTTTAAGGAGATTTCGTCCATACCTAAGGAGAGATGATTTACTAATATTCTTTCTTGAAATATCACCTCAAAACCGCGTTTGCCAGCTCATACGCGTCTTCAATAGATGATCTCCAACGATTTTGATTCTGAGACGCTCTGACGGATTATCTGATCAATCAGAACTTCAGTCTTCAAACTCTGACAGACTCTAAAACAGAAAACCTATCTAATTTTGCCAATTACATGTTGGGGTTTTAGACTCAAAACACTAACAAACTCCCCCTTTGGCTATTATTTGGCAAAACAACTTAATAAAAACGAAAGTCATGATTTAAAGCAATTAAACCAAAGATATACCCTTTCTAAACAAGCTAAGCAACACACAACCTAAAAGAACTGAAACAATTAAAGCAACAACCCCCAACACTTCACACACACTCCCCCTGAATATCAACTACCAACACTTCACACACACTCCCCCTGGATATCAACCACTCCCCCTGAGACCTCACTACTCCCCCTTTTTGCGAAATGATAGACAAAGAAGCATTAGGCTAACGGAGGATCTCCACACTCAGCCAGTAACACAGAAGTATGGGTACATATCACTTCAGATTTTCTGACCCAGATCTGTCTCTTGAAAGGAGTAATGAATTTATTTCTAAAATGTTCCTCTCTTTGATCCTTATATAAGTAGTAACACTCTGGTCTGGTGTGACCTCTAATTAAGCAATAATGACATGTAGGGGTATAGTTTTTGAATTTGAAATACTTGCCTTTCATCTTGGAGTGAAGAGACTGAAATTTAGTGCTGACTGGTTCAGACTCAGTAGTGGAAGCAGAAGTGTTTCCTTTCACGAACACAGGAGCAGACCTAGACGATTGACCCTTTTCATAACCAAGGTCTGTTCTACTGTTAGAAGAAGATGTGTTTCCTTTTACAAACACAGGAACAGACTTAGATGTTTGACCTTTTTCAAAACCAAGACCAGTTCTATTGTTAGACTTTCTGCCTGAGTCTAAAATCTTGTCCAAAGTAGAAGTAGTATCCATCATCTTGATGTTTTTCTTCAAATCTTCCAATTCCTTTACCAGCTTTCCTTCTCTAGATCTGATCTTAGTAATAAGATCATCTTTCATAACCATATCAGCATTTAGTTTCTTCAAATGTTCCTCACGCTGTCTAAGATTTTCATTCAAATTTTTGTTGACCTTCACCAATTGTTCCCATCTAGAAACAAGTTTAGCAAACTCCTTTTCTAACTGAGTATGTCTTTCTTCAAAATTGTCTGAAGACATGTAGGCTTCATCATCCTCATCGCAGTCTGAGTGAACTTCTGATGCAGTGAAGAGTGCAACAGAGTTCCTAGTATTTTCATCAAACACTTGATCTGCACTTTCCTCTTTGTCACCACTTAGGGTTGAAGCAGACATGTATTTATTCCTCTTTAGGTATGTTGCACATTCTGCCTGAGTATGACCAAACCCTTCACATTCCCAACATTGAATTGACCGATTTAGGGCTTTACTTATACTGTTTGATGCATTCTTGGACTGACCAGACTTCAAAACTGAAGGAGTTGACTCAAATTTATGATTTGTTGAGTTTCCACCATTGGATTGATTCCTATTAAACTGTCCCAAACCTTTTTGACTGAATCCCTTTGAAATCTTCTTGAGAATCTTCATGAGCAAAGCTAGGGATTCATCATCAACATCTTCAGTGTTAGATTCTTGATCAGCGTCAGTAATGAACGCCACTGATTTTCTTTTTCTGATTGACCTAGGGTTATCATTAGTTAGCACTTCAAGTTCGTAAGTGTGTAGACTACCCATTAGTTCACCAAGACTCTTCTTCTCCCAGCCTTGATTCTCTTGAATTGCTATAACCTTCATACGAAACCTCTTGGGCAGTGAGCGAAGAACTTTCTTGACCACCCTTTCTTCAGAGAATGGTTCGCCAAGAACAGATGCCCTATTCATTAAATCTTGTACCTGACTATGGAAATATGAGATATCATCTTCTTCATTCATCTTCAGGGCTTCGAATTCTGAAAGAACCATTTGTAATTTTGACTGCTTTACATCATCAGTTCCTTCATATCGAGTTTGCAAGATCTCCCACGCCTTCTTGGCTTCTTTCACACCAGTGACTTGGGTGAATACAAACTCATATAATGATCCCACAATTGAATTCAATGCTTTGCTATTGTAACCTGAGAGAGTTAATTCTTCAATTGACCATTCCTCTACTGGTTTACGGACTGTTGCACCCATCAGTCCGTCTTTTGTAGGGGGTGTCCAACCAGTAATCACAGCATGCCACACTTTAGCTCCTTGGGCTTGAAGATAGATTTCCATTATGGCTTTCCAGAATGAGTAATTATTACCATCCAATAGAGGTGGCCTATCCATCTGTCACAAATGACTCAAACAGCACTTTGTCCGCCAGAAAAGTAAAAACACACGAAAGTACAGAAAAATAGTTCCCTTTTGGATCAAGTCACTATGTAGACTTAAAAGCTCTGATACCACATGTAATTTCTGTATTCGTGTTGTATATTGTGTCTATATAATATTTCAGTATGATTCTGTTTGAGTGATTGACTTAGCACTGTCATAGATCAGTCAGTAGATCAGTGAATAGTCTTGGTGCGGAAATTAAATCAAACAGAAGTAAAAGACACAAAATATTGTTTACCCAGTTCGATACAGTGTGTATCTACGTCTGGGGGACGATCACCGTTGCGTCAAATCTACTAACTCATAATTCAATGTACAAAGGTAGAGAAAATACGATCTCACCCAAGTGCCCCACACAAGGTCAGTATCCAGTCTACAGAGGTTTAGTGGATTGTTGAAGTCGGAGAGCCGCGCATCCAGAAGTCCAATGAAATTCCTTCAATGGAGAGCTAATTCTGATGCAGTCCGCTTCACTGACGCAGTCCCACGTTGTTCCCACAACTGAGTGATCTTCGCGTCCACTGGTTTAAGCATGATTGATTCTTCTCAAGTTCATCTTCTTAAGCACCATGAACTGTATTTCTTGAGAAGGAATGGAATAGCCAGAACTGTGTATTCTTTTTGTATTGAGAGTATTGGCTTCAAAGCATTCACCCCTAACTTATGAAAACTTGTATGCATAAATACTTCTTGTCTTTGATTCTCTCAAAAAATAGCTCTGGATGTAAAAGGTAGGACTTGTATAGCTAATCAATCTTGATTTTTTAAGGAGATTTCGTCCATATCTAAGGAGAGATGATTTACTAATATTCTTTCTTGAAATATCACCTCAAAACCGCGTTTGCCAGCTCATACGCGTCTTCAATAGATGATCTCCAACGATTTTGATTCTGAGACGCTCTGACGGATTATCTGATCAATCAGAACTTCAGTCTTCAAACTCTGACAGACTCTAAAACAGAAAACCTATCTAATTTTGCCATAATAATTTTGTCAATTACATGTTGGGGTTTTAGACTCAAAACACTAACATATATTATTGAGAAGTAGTGGATAATACAATAAAAAATTTATTTGCTAAATGACTAATATGGTCAGTGTAACAATCACAACGTTCATTATAAATAGAGGGAATGTATATAAATTAAGGTAAGCTCTGCGTACCTTAACATACACACTATTATATTCACAACAACTAGAAATATATTGTAATTCAAGATTTTGCACCCACCAATTAATACTAATTCATCACATTATTTTTTTTTTTTTGGATAAATTCATAGATTAACATTATAATAATAAAAATTATGTTAAATTAGTCAATTGGGGGTCACGACTCATTTATCATTTATATCAAATGTCACTTAAAATTCCTTTTAACTAATAATATTTTTATTAGGTGTGTTATATATTAAATTGTACCATATAAAAGTTACACAAATAATATTGTTATGTATGGCAAATTGCCAATAAAATTTCACCAATATATCTGAAAACTAATAATTTTACCAAGTCACTTCTTACATAGTTACATCTTTTGAAGCCAAATAGGCAATCCCGATACCCGTCCTCATATAATAAGCGCCAAAGCCTGAAATATGTTTTACCCGCGCGCGCGAAATTAAAAACCTCCCAGAATCAATATTCACGTTCCCGCCATTGTTACCCATTTTCACCTTTCTTTCTCCCACATAAAGGGCACAAAAATGTTGAATTATCAAAATCTGATTTTTGCTTTAATCCCTAAAACCCAAATATTCATTCCGGAATGGATCTCTCTGATATCGCGAAAAAGCTCGGCCTCTCTCAGAACAAGCCGCTCATACGAAGAGCGGCCGAGCTCCGCCGCCAGGCCGATATCCAATTTGATTCATCCATCATCGGCGTCGTAAGTAATTATCGATTTTTTTCCATCTAGAATTGTCGAAAGTTTTGTTTTCCCTGTTTGACTCCAATTGTGTATATTGATCGATTTTTTGTTTGTTTGTTTTGTTTTACAGGGTGAAGTGTGCAAAGCTATTATCTGCTTAGAAATCGCCGCTTCTGGGTAAGTCTTTATATGCACGAAAATATGGAATTTGATTGTCTATACATGTGTGCATACGGTTTGAGTGGGTTTGCCTTCCCGTGACTTGATGGTTGAATTTGCATGGTATGTGTTTGTGATAATGTTTGAATGGTGATGCTGAATGTAGGATGGAAGTGATATTTGATCGGCAGGCTGCAATCAGGTTGAGTGGGATGAGTGAGAAGGCCTATAATAGATCCTTCAATTCAATGCAGAATGGCATTGGAGTCAAGTAAGTTCTTAATGTTTTCCATATTTTCAGCTGTGAATTTCTGTTACTGGATGTTTGTTTGTTGCCTGAATTCGAGTTATAAATGTAATGTGTTGCATTTCTGTGTAGGAATAAGCTTGATATTAGAGAATTGGCCATTCAGTTTGGGTGCATTAGGCTGATTCCTATTGTTCAGAAGGGTCTATCACTGTGAGTAATGTTATTAACTCTAGTATGCACACTGCATAATTGAAAAGCTGTGGGTTTTATATCTCAATGATAAGCGTCCCAGAGCCATTGAATGATTTACTGATATAACCAATTAGTTGCCTTCAATTATAATAATTGAAATGTGGTTGATTTTCAGATACAAGGACCGGTTTGTTACTTCATTGCCACCTTCTCGTAGGCTAAGTGCTGATTTCACTAGGCCTGTGTTCACTGCTGTAGCATTTTATTTGAGTGCTAAAAAACACAAGGTATTGTCTATATTGTAATTTGTTGGTTTTGTATAACAGATCAATATATGTGCATATGGAAATATTCAGGATATTCCTCATTTTATTTCCCTATTTGTTGTTCATAGCTGAAGGTGGACAAGGATAAGTTAATAGAAGTTTGTGGAACTTCAGAATCTGAATTTGTTAGTGTAAGAACTGCCCTCTTCATTGCATTGCTGTTTAGCTCAAAATTGTCATGTTTACTGACAGTCTCTTGTTACAGGTTTCTACTTCCATGAGGGACCTTTGCTTTGATGTTTTTGGGATCTCAAAAGAAAAGAAAGATGCTAAAGAAGTCAAGGGGAACCGAGGTAACAAGTTATTCTTGAACTGTATGAGTGTCTGAAGAAGTTAGTGCCTTTCCTATTCAAGAAAGGTTAAGAGCTTTGCAAGACACAACAGTTTTTTCACACCTTGGCTTCCTTGTGCAGGGTTGCTTGATGCTTTACCTGAGAAGAGAAGGATTGAGGATGGTGGCTATTCATCTGATGAGGATGAGGTGACACACATTTCATTCTTCAACCAACACCTTATTTTGGAGTCCAACTTTTTTTACTTTTAATATGTTACTGCTTGAAGTTGATGTTGTGTCTTGACAAATTTGCAGTCTTGCTACAAGAAGCGTAAGCGAATGGATGAACAAGATTATGAAAAGTGGAAGTCTGCTGTTGTTGACTCAAATAATCCTGTCAAGGCTAAAGGTGAGGCATCAATATGCTTCTGTGCTGATTTAATTTATAAGTTAAAGGATGTGATGTGTTTGCTTGTAAGCTAATGTGAACTGCACTTGAACCTTCAGCTCCTTTGAAGCGAACCAAGCAAGCCCGGCTCAACTTCCCGAAGAAAGTTCCTGAAACTGAAGTGGAAGCTGCGTGAGATACATGCCCATGGCAGTGTAACTGTGTAAGAAATGAGTCAAAAGATGTTAGCATGCTTAGAGCAAGGAACCAAAAGGGTTTGTATTCATGTGTTTTGATTTATAAGGTGACATGTAAAGTGGGATCCAAAATGCTTACTGCGCTCTACAAGTCTGAGTCTACTGTGTAAATCAAAGGAATTTTTGGGTACATATGCTGTGAGCTGAATATGCTTTGATGTTTCAGTCTGCTCACTTAATCCAAATTATACACATTCTTGTAATGTTTGTACAATAACTCTTGTTTGTTTGGATATTTATAAAAGGAAAAAAGATGTACCTTCGGTCTCTAAATTATTACATTTTAATTTTTAAACATGTTTGAAATGTAATATTAGTCTTTTAATTTATTTAAATATGATCTTTCCATTGTACTTTTATAGAATTATAATTTTTTAAATTTGAAGAATTATAATTCCCCCTTCTCTTCTAAGAAAAGGATTAAATTGTCATTTCTAATTATCTTTATATGTAGTCATAGTAGATAATAGAATATGTAAGTTGATAGATATCCCAAATCACATAGCCGGTCGGGGGTGCAAAGCAAGGAAGATTCAGACACGGCCTAATCTTAGCAGATGGGCAACACTCATGATCTCCGATTGTCATGTAAAGTGCTTGGAGACTGCAGTCAGCCTCTTTAAGTGACCGGCCACCCATGTGGGCTAGGAATGGCAACGGGGCGGGGGCGGGGAGTATACTCCCCGTCCTTGTCCCCGCGACCCCATCCCCGTCCCCGCGGGAAATTTGGCGGGGATGGGGAATCCCTATCCCTGGTCAACCCATAGTCAATATGTGAAAGTAATACAATTTTTAAAAATAAAAAACAAAAAAATTGAAATACATAGTCAATATATTCTAATAATCTAATATATACACATTTAATATTCACCATGCATGCAATGTAATCAATATTCAATATATTCCAAATTTCAATTCATCAAATATATACAGTGTTTGAATAGTACTGACTATGTTTTAAATTTTAATTTTAAAATGTAATAAAACTAATTAACTATATAATATATATAATATATATATTTTTTAATTTTCGGGGGCGGGGCGAGGAGTGGTATCCCCATCCCCGTCTCCGTCCCCGATCTCCGATACTTTTTCCCGTCCCTGTCCCCATCCCCTACGGGGACGGGGCACATTGCCATCCCTAATGTGGGCAGGAGCCTACTTAGGCGGAAATCAGTCGACTTGGGTAAAGCGACTAGGCTCGGTAGTTGGTGTGTCCTCGACTGAGATTATATATGAGACGCGGATGGGTGACCAGCCTCGGTAGTTGGCGTGTCCCCGATTGAATGCCCTGCGGGATTCAGACGGGCGACCCGGCACCGTGGGCGGTGTGTCCTCGACCGGGTACCACTCATGAACTTAATCAGGCGACTAGGCTTCGCGATAGGGATGTCCTCGAGTACTGTGGCCCCTCAGAACGTCTCCTTGGCAGCCAGGACGCCCCCGATTGGGTATGCGTCCAGAGGCAGTTACAGGCAGATTTTGCGGAGATCTCATTATTTATTTAAGTAGCTTCCTTTATTAGTTTAGACAGTTATGGTATGAAGTAGGCCGGATTCCATATCAGAATTGGCTCTACGTAAGCCCTACTTCCCTTATAGAATTGGCTCTACGTCAGTCCTATTTTCCTTGTAGAAAGTTGTACTTTAGTATAAGTATCATTGGGATCACTCTTTTTCTCTCTCGAGATCTATCGAATTTCTGGCACTCAAGCGGCCGAGATAATAGAGAAATAATACCACATTATTCTCTCCATTCTTTTGTTAGGTGTAATTCTCTCCATTCTTTGAATCTTCATTCAGATAAACCTTAGTTCTAGTATTCTATGGTAGTGTTGTCTCGAATGGCATCCCAAAACTGTAAAACCAACCTAAGTGATTATTGATGTATATAGAACTTCGTAGGTAATAGTGATTATAAATAATGTTATATATTTGTATTTTTTGTATGTATTTGAAAAAAAATTAAAAATAAGAAAAAAGATATTTTTTCCAATCTGTTGTAGGATTGAAAAAACGTAAAAAACAACATTTTCAATGGAAAATGGAAAAACAATACTAAAAGGACACTTTTTGTTTTCATTTTTTTAATAGAAATTAATTCTCCTTACAAAAAAAAAAAAACAAAAAAGAAATTAATTCTAGAAACAAAATTTTAGCCTATACATTTCCATTCAATTCAACCCATTGACGTAGTCAAAGTAATTATATTGCTTCCCTAATCTCACCCCTGTCAGGCCGTCACCAGCAACCACTACTGTTTGGTCAATTAAGACTGTGACTGAAAACAAAGAAGTCAACATTACAAAGAGCATCGAAGGGGGCAATGAGAAAGCTCCCTAGTGAGACAAATTTTGAAGGGGCAACTTCTTACACTGTTTTATATTTTATACATTACGTTAAAAGAATTGTACTATACAATATTTTAGACAAACACACTCCTATCGTTATAATTTCAGTTATCTTTTCCACTATTATTACATATATATGGATCCACTATATATTTTCTTATCTTTTTAATAATTATACATGGGCAGCTCAACTGGTCACAAAGGTGAAATTTTAGAAGAATGACCAGGGATCGAGTCTCACCAGCAGTGAGCACAGGTCTAGATTTACATCCTCCCATCTTGTCAGAAAAATGATATCTAAATAAATCTAAGATTTTAACATAAAGTACTAATATTGGGCACCGCGCATAGAAAATACTATATATATATATATATATATATATATATATATATATATATATATAGAGGGTAGGGTTCCAGTGAGAACATGTGCTTATGTGAGAACATGAGAACACATCATGTACATTAATCTAATATTTTTTAATGGTATAGATTAGATTAAGTGTGTGCAAACGCGCATTTAATGTGTGCAAACACATTTAATCGCATTTGCACACATTTAATGCGCGTTCGCACACACTTCATCTAATCTATACCATTAAAAAATATTAGATGGATGCAAATGATTTGTTCTCACGTTTTCACCTAAGCAAATGTTCTCACATAATCTTAAATATATATATATATATATATATATATATATATATATATATATATATATATATATATATATATATATATATAAGGATGAGTTCAGGTGCGAATATAGTCTTCCGTGCGGTTAACACAAAAAGATGCACCTTAAGCATTAAAATGACGTACCTTAAGTACACAAACCACTCACATTAAGCACACAAACAAAACACTTCAAAGAACACAAACCACACACCTAAAGTTTAAAATGGCGGACCTTAAGTACACAAATCACGCACCTTAAGCACACAAACAAAGCAACTTAAGAACACAAACCACGCAATTTAAACATAAAAATCACGCACCTTAAGAAGAAAAATCACGCACATTTGAAGTATTTTAGACACCTCCTTAGATTCACTTTGGCTCCCATTAACTCGAAGTTCATTCAAAAATATCCTGAAAGACATACAATTGTCTTCAATTCAATGGTGTATGCACCTAAGGATATAAACAAATGAATTAAGACACATTTTGCATAAAATCAAAGTATCTTTCACTCAAAATGAGTCTATATATGGGGTAAAAATATAGACATAAACACACTTATTAGTGAGAGAGATTGTTGGAATAAAAATAGCCTTAGTCATATTCGGTTAAGTTGAAAAAGATTCAAATAATATCATCTATATCCTCATAAGTACTAAGAAATCATATATAAATAAATCAAACAATAAAATCACAATTTAAAATAGGGAAAATGACACTTTTTCCCCCTGAGTTATGTACTTATAGCACTTTTCCCCCCTCAATTATTCAAGTGGCTATTTTTCCCCCTAAAATGTTAAATGGACATATTTACCCTTAAAATAAATATTTTATTTATTTTTCTTCTCCAACAAATTATGACCATAATTTGGTTCAAACCAAATAAACACTATAGCAACCAAACCGAAATATTCCAATTACAATTTAGAATCGAAACTCGATATTTAGAGTTTATTAAAATCCCGGAACGGACGGTTCATGTTCCGAACTGAAAAAATAAAATACATTTATTGTTGAATTTAGATTATTTTTAAAATAAAAATAAATTTTTAAAATAAAAACGGTTCAAAATCGCGAATCGGGTCCGTGAACCGCTGGTTCACGGTTCAGGATCCAATTTTTTTGATTCATAATTTTAATAAATTGAAATCCAAATATTGGGTTCTAGATCTAAATCATAACCGGAAACTTTTAATTCGATTGCTATAGTGTCTGATTCAGTTCGAACCGAATCGTGGTCATCCCTACGTATACGCAATAATTTGTTGGAGAAGTAAAATAAATAAAATGTTTATTTAAGGGTATAAATGTCAATTTAATATATTAGGGGGAAAAACCACCACTTTTAGAATAATTGAAGGGGTTAATGTGCTTACCTAAATAATTGAAGGGGGAAAAGTGCTATAAGTATATAACTCAGGGGGAAAAAGTGCCATTTTCCCTTTAAAATATGTAATTATTTATTTAGAAAAAGATTCAATAGGCTATCAAACTATAGTTTAAAAAATAATTAGGCTATTAAATTAAAAAAAAATTAATTAGACACTTAAAGTCATCACTTTGATGTAATTTAGAAGATAGCTTGTTAAATTGAAGCAATCCACAAGTAAAGTGGCAATTTTTTTTTTTTTTAATAAATACCGCCGTAATTCTTTTATAACAAAGTAAAATAACAGTTCCCCAACTTTTTCTTCAAACACACATTCATTTTTTTATATTAATTTATTTGAATTAAATTATAAATTAAAATATTTTTATCATTATTTAAAGGTAATTCATAAAACCAAGTGGCTTGTAGTGCACTAGTACCCGATTGGTCCCCTAAGTAGGAAGTGATAAGTTCGAATCTCACATAACACAAATAGTGTGTATATATAGGGTATCCCCTTCCTTATAATCAAAAAACACCCGTAAGTCCGTAACGGACTAATTGATTTGTTTAATTGAAATTAAATTATTAATTTTTGTTTATAGTTGAGATTTATTTAAGCGTTTTTTCTAATTTTATTGAAAAAATGTACTAATAAATTAAATTATTTTTTTCCATAAAAAATAAATAAAATTATTTAAATATTAGAGGTGGACTGGTCTAGGTCAACTTTGTGAACCGGCCCATTGGATTAGCTGGTGATTCCCGTCGTCAAAGTTTGACAAGCTGGACAAAAAGGTCCGGAGAAACTTGCGACGAAAATGCTTTTTTGATCGCCTTTCGCGGCTGCTCTCTCTTGCTTTCCATTGTGCCACGTTTTCGACAGTCTCAAAATATCTGCCAACAAGTGTACAATTGAATTGATAGTATCAAGGGCGATAATATTAATATATATGACTAAGAACAACCAACTCCATATTATTTATTTATTCTCTCTGCATCCAAAGCTTCCTATCAATCAATCGTAATTTATTGCTCATCTTTTTCTATTTAATTTTCCAACAATTTGTTGACTTGAAACCCTAGTTATTGTGTCTGTTTGAATTGAGCGGAGAGTTGTGATTGAGATGGAGTACGTTTCGGATGAATTGCTGGGGACGTTTGTGCCTATAGTGGTGTATTGGCTGTACTCAGGACTGTATTCGTTGCTGGGGGGTTTGGAGGGTTACAGGTTGCACTCGAAGAAGGATGAAGATGAGAAGAACTTAGTTACTAAGATGGAAGTTGTGAAAGGTGTGATTCTCCAACAGGCTGTGCAGGCAGTTGTTGCCACCATCCTCTTCGCGGTATGCTTCAATTCTCATTCTCCTACTCTTTTTTTGGTAGTGGGGCCCGAGTGAATGAATTTGATGGAAATTTTTCTGTGCTGATTGAAGGATTTTTTCCTTTTCTGGTTTGCCTATGCCTATTTGGTATTATCATAGATATCTGCTGATGTGTTAATGATGAATATATGCTTTGTTCGTATGATTGATTATAATTTTCTTGGAAATATGCTTTAAGAGATGTTGAAGTGATTTATTTCCTTGTTTGGACCTAATCCACGGAATAGAAGTGTGAGAGGAGGGATTATAGGTAATTAATTAGTAAGATAGTGGATGAAACAAAATTTTTCCTAAATCTGCCCCTACATTACATATATATGATATATCAAGCTTTTAATGGATTTGGAATGTTTTTTAAATGTTCAATAAGTTGTTACACCCCAGGAATATTAGTTGTTTCTTTTAGTTATAGGTGGTTTTTGGTTGGTTTGATTTATCACATCCAATGAACTGTAGTTGTTTCTTTTACTTTATTTAGGTTCAACTTACTTGGGGGTGACCCTGCAGCATAATTGCAGAAACCCACAGGATTATTTAAATTTTAGGGCATCAAGTATAAAGTTATTGCGTTGAGGCAACAAGGATAATAGTGTCGTTAATGAGTTTTGTGTCATATGGGGAACATTGAAGATTATACCTCTAATATAGGAATTAGGAATATAAATTAGCTTGATCAATTATGTGTCTGTTAGCTGATTTATGAAAGTGGTTGTTGTTTTGGCCAACAACATGCCTTTCTTGTTTTCATCGTCTATGTGGTTTTGCTAATATCAGGCAGAGTTGCTGAATCTTGAGGTAATGATTTATGGCTAATACCAATTTAGGGCCCTGTCCATTACAGAAATTTTACAAATCAAGATTTTGAAGAACTGTGCTAAGGCATTGGTTTAAGGAACTTTCAATTCTTTGTTTAGCTGTAGGATAGGGCCTTCTTTCCCATATTGCTTATCAGTCCTTTGAACTTTGGAGTCTTTTTTATTCTGCATATTTCAAAAGATTAGAAAGAAGTTGCCAGCTTAAGATAGGGGTAGAATGAGTATAAGATTGTATATAGTTGAGATGGCAATATAATGAGTTTCTAGTTTATGTGTTTTATGGAATTAAAAGTTGTATTTATTTCCTAAACTGAATAGGACCTCTCTGTGCCAAATATCCTGCCAGCTTTTATAGACATTTTTTAATTAATAACCAATAACTTAATCTTTCTTTATTAGAACATAAAATGAATGGGATAAGCATTATAAAAATGTGGCTTTAGATAGACCTGCATTTCAAAATATTGGCTTTCTGAAAGACGAAGCTGCATTAACAAAAAGCATCTTTCCAACCTGTTCTTGTCTAAACAGAATACTTTACAAGCACTAGACCCAGGACTTCCTTCATCTGCAACAGTTATTGCCTGAAACTTACAGTGTTTACTGGTCCACTCACCAACAACCAGCTTGCCCAAATCACATAAACAGGTGGTAGTGTTCTAGAGTTAGTCTTCAAAGCTAAAAAGAAAGTCATACAAGTCAAAAACTTGTTTCTGTGAGAAGAGAGTTTTAGAGGGGAGATTAAGTCCATTTTCATTTCTTCATATACTATGTTTCTTTTTGTTCCCATGCTTGACTTTTGTTGAGAGAGAGAGAGAGAGAGGACTTTATTTTTGGGAACTATGGAGTTAGAAAAGAAAAGAAAGCTAAAGGAGAATTTGAGATTAATGAAATATGAGTGGCATTCATAAGACACATTTAAGGAATAAAACTTGCTAAACCACATTTACAAAGTACACTTTTGCTGAATATCTATTATTGAAAATGTGATCTTAGAGTAAGGAAATATGAGTAGATTCAGAAGATGCATTTAAGGAATGAAGCTTGCTAAACTGCATTTACAAAGTGCACTTTTGCAAAATATCTACTATTGAAATGTGAAAGCCACATATTTGAAAAGTCACTTATATAAAAAAGTTGCATATTGTATTAGCTTTTGGTAAAACACTTCCAAATCATTATATTTCAGTAAAAGTTCTCTCACCACAAGATTCTTAAATCATCATTGCACATCTATTTTTTTGTGGTGTAGATGTGTAATCAAGAATTCCTAACTATTTGCTGCTGGCTTCTAAAATAGGATGAAACATATATTGCTCCCTGGTGGTCCTTTTTTTGTAGTGTAGTGAAGGATTGTCACCCCTTGGTGCCTTATAATAAAGTTATACACTCACCTATCAAAGAGAATGATCTAACGAGTGAAAAGTCAATACTTGAGCGATTTAACTGCATTATGCCACAGTTAGAAGCTTCTAAGGCTGTATGCAATTCGATCACATATTATAATTTAGTCATTGCTTATGATGAGTACTTTAATTTGTGTGAAAGTTTTACTTAATGGTTGTTTCATCTGTTTTGACATTTCATTCAATGTACGTTTTGGTTTTAACTTTTAACATAAGTGAGGTAATGTTCCTAATTCCATAGTCTTATTGGCCATAGTGAAACTTCTTGTTCTGGCTCTTGTATCAGTTTTGACATTTAATATCAGGTGTGGGAACTGGGAACATAATACAACTGAATAATGAGGAGTTAATTTGCTCCTTTTCTAAGCTACCCATGTGATTATGCCGAGTCTATTTGGATGGTCCAAGAAATTGATTATGCCGAGTCTATTTGGATGGTCCAAGAAATTGATTTTATTCCCTTTTTGTTGCACTACGTTGATGCAATTAATATGGAACATAAAATACTTCTTAGTTGGGGACTACTATACCTTGTTTTGGTGCATATACTTCATTAACAAGTCTTGCACCTCTGTCACTTTGTTAGTCATCTGCTTTTCATGTGTCAACTTTTGTGTGGTATATGGTGCTTTTAATTCTTATTTCTAGACATCTGTTTCTGTGCAGGTCACTGCAAATGATAGTGAGACTGTCGTAGATCAGCAGGCATCAGGTCTTGTTCTTGCAAGGCAATTTATTGTTGCTATGGTGGTGTTAGATACGTGGCAATATTTTATGCACAGGTACATGCACCAAAACAAGTTTTTGTATAGACACATCCATTCTCAGCATCATCGACTTGTTGTCCCGTATGCTTTTGGAGCTCTATACAATCATCCTCTAGAGGGACTTCTTCTTGATACCGTTGGTGGTGCTATGGCTTTCCTTGCCTCGGGCATGTCTCCTCGGGTTTCAATTTTCTTTTTCTCCTTTGCCACCGTCAAGACTGTTGATGATCACTGTGGACTATGGTTACCAGGGAATCTATTCCAAACCTTCTTTAAGAATAACTCAGCGTACCATGACATTCATCACCAGTTATACGGCACCAAGTACAACTTTTCACAACCTTTCTTTGTAACATGGGATAGAATACTTGGCACTTACATGCCTTATGAACTAGAGCGAAGAGCAGATGGGGGTTTCGAAGCTAGGCCTACTAAAGATTGCAACGACGAATAACAAGGCCAATTTTAATTGTTTCTCACAGAATATTTTGCTTCTCAGACATTTGATGACATTTCAGTTTGTATATATAATATATCCATATATTTGCATATATTGTTGTATATTTTGTTGCTCTTTGTTGATTAGTGTGTTTGTGATTAATAAAAAAGTTCAGTTTAGAGATTGATATTTGATCCCTCTGTTTCCATTTTTTTCTGATGGAATTGGATATCTTTTTCTTTCGCTTTCATCTATTTATATCCAAGCGGACTTTTTTGAGTTGGCTTAGAAATTTGTATTACCAGGGCATTCAGGGGTGTGGATGTGGCTCTATTTTCACACTTCACCTTCCTCATTAAACCATCTGCTTAGTTGTAATGGGCTTTGATTCAATGGAGGACCATCCCATTAATGGATGGAGCTTTAATTTTTTTTCAACGAACCAATATGCTTGGATCTTATCTGTTCTACATTAATTACCAAGATGTTTGTTCAAGATAATGAAAGGCCATCTATCCTCTTTTTAGTGTGTGTGTGTTGAAAAAAGGCTATCTATCTAATAAATTGATTCCTCATTATTTTTCTTAGCAAGTGTTTAGTATATGTGCATTATTATATACGGACTAATATAAAGTGAGTGTTTTTTCAATTGTTTATATATACTAGGCACATGTAGTTAACATATTATGTGTCTTCAATTTATTTATAGGTATATAATATGTTAATTGAATGTTATGAATTGATTTTTTATTTTATTTTAATTTTTTTCAAGTTTGTTTGATGGATTGAATGGTAGGCTTTATATTTGGGTTCAAGTGCAAGTATAGCTTCCCGTGCGGTTGTACGATTAACTCAAAAAGACGCACCTTAAGAACACAAACCACGCATCTAAAGTTTCAACAACTGACGCACATTAAGCATGCAAATCACGCACCTTAATAAGGAAAACAACGCACCTTAAGAAGGAAAATCACGCACTTAAAGTTTTAGGCCGACGCACCTTAAGTACACAAACCACGCACCTAAAGTTTTAAAAATGGCACACCTTAAGTTTCAACAACTGACGCACTTTAAACATACAAGTCACTCACTTTAAGAAGAAAAACATTGCCACCGCATTTTTTTTAATCATTGTTAATCTTGAACGCAACCGCACAACTGCATATATATATATATATATATATATATATATATATATATATATATATATATATATATATATATTATTTAAAATATAATCCTTAATGAAACAAGGTAATATTATATTCTACAATCCAAATCAAACACATAAGTAATCTTACATTACCAAAATCTCACGTTACCTTCTTGGAGGTAATCATATTACCTGGGGTAATCCAAGATTCTGTGAACCAAACACCCCTTATACGATAGTTATCTTGGAGTCAACTTTCTCCCTTAAATATTCTTATTAAATGACCACATACTACTACTCAAAATTAGGTCTCCGGTTTCATTTGCTTTTATGGCTCTTTATGGTCACCATAGGTCTTGGTTTGCTTCTCCAATCCGGTGGTACCAACAGCGTGGTTTGTCATTTCTGGTCACCGGACGGCGAAGTGGGTAGATGGACAGTCAATCAGTCTCTGACTCTAAACAAAACAACATGATACATGCATATATATGTTAACTGGACACACTTTTTCCTTTTCTTTTTTTGGTACTATAACTTTTTAATACTTTATAATCAGATTGATTCTGACTAATATAAAGTTAAGTTAGTCTTGAAATTTATTCATTCATAAAGTTGAAATTATATACTTTAGTTAATGGACTAAGTTGTGAATATGATGCAACACATACACATGCCAGCTAGTAATGTGTTTTGCTTTTAGTAGACTTTTCTTAAGGTGGTGGCATAAGCCTGATGTCTTGTCAATTTTTGGATTTTAGTTATACCTTTGTATATATCTTGACTATATATTTTTGAAGCTGTAGTGTTTCTTCATTTCCTTCATTATTGACGTTTTGGCAACCACCTTTGATGCCGACATCCAGTATGCCCTTTTGTTTAAGTGTGATATACTGATATGTATAGATCAATTATCAAAGTTATTTGACTTTAACCTGCTAGAGTGTGGTTGAGTGAAAAAGACTGACTTTAACTTGAAGTGTAGTTGAGTGGAAGAGACTCATCCATTCTTAATTAAAGGTCACATCAAGGGTTCGATTCCTGACTTTGGGTATGAAGCAGCTTCGATCCCTAGCTTTGGGTATGAAGCAGATGTCTACAATTCATAATCACTGTGTCCAACAGTAAGTAAAAACACGGGATAAACAAAAAAAAAAACTCAATTCTTTTCAAAGTTATTGATTTTCTTGGTTTGAAGCAAATAATTATGAACAACCTAAGTTGATCAACCTTCAATTCTTATGTTCTTTTGTCGTTAGTGCCACAAAGTGAGATTTGATTTTAAATACAATGTAATAGATCTGTATTATTTTATCTACATCTAATGAGTTAAATTTGAAATGTTTTATTGTGGGGCATCATTATTTAAAATTTGGGAAAAAAAATTGATATGACAAGATCTTGTATATTATATTGATGAGTTAATTGTGATATTTGACAATTAGTGGAATAAAGCAAGTGATTATAAGCGGCACAAGTATATATTAAGCCCGCGTTGATCCCTACCTTTCAAATATTGCATGCCTTGGTGCCCATACGCGACACGACAATCTAGTATGTATCCGTACTTCATAGTTATTAGTTAGGTTGTTGTTCTGTTAACTCAGACCTAAATGAAATATAATGCATGAGGGTCTTCGCTCTGACTACATATAATATATGTTAGTTATTCTGTTCACTCATACCTAAAATGAATGTTCTTCCTTTTTCTTTTTAGGGTACACTTTTTTTTTGAAAACTCTTTTTAGGGGTACACTAATACATGATTCTTTATGAAACTTTTTCTTCTTTTCTTTTAAGTTTTACAATGCCCATAGGTAAGCTTTTGAAATTGCTCCGGTTGAGAAATTTGCAGTCACTATTTAAGTGTGCAGTGGATAAATCCCTCATTGTGACCCTTGGGTAAGTCTATGAGACTATGACTGTCTCAAACCCCGCTTTGTGACCCTAACTGGTAAAAAATAATTCAACTTAAGTTGTTTATAGCTGATCGGTTCAAATCAAAAGTGTCAATATGCCGTTCCCATTATTGAGCTTTATTTGTGTTTTTCTCTTGGCATTATATGATGGGACATGTATGGATGGGATCCTTACATCTTCCTGTAGGGTAGGCATCTGTGATAATGAAGGTGGTTAGCCAACCCTGAGTTGTGATCGGAAAATTGTGATTCTCATGAAACCAGCGAGCTACCTTACAAGACATTCTTAGCTTACATTGTTTTCATCATCAATGGTGGTGGTGTCCCCATTCTTAATTCATTCTCCTATTTCAGATGTCTGTTACATCCCTGTCCCTTTTAAGCTTTCATGGGTGGGGGAGAAGAGAATGGTGGATTCTCCTCCATTATTATTAGCAGCCCGGACTAGGCATCTCACTATCATTATCTGACAAAAGAGAAATGTGCAGTGGTGGATCAATACAAAAGATTATTCAGTCCAATACTATGTTTAATTTGCAGTCTCAGAGAAAGCTCTAATGGCAGAAATCTCAGCGCAGATTCATTGCTATTATTGCCTGAGCTAATCAGAGAATTTTGGGTTACTATTAGAATGGCACAATTTCAAGCTAGATTTTGTGGATTTAAAGCTGTTCTTTCAATAGTGTTTTCCAAATTGAAGCTTTTAATTTGTTCTCATGTTCTAGTGCAAGGACCAAGTCCAGCACCAAGTGGCTAGGAGATTGTTGGGTAGAGGTCTGAAGGACTAAGTCCAACACTTGACTCTCGAAAATGTGACCGTATAAGAAATTAAAGTTACGTTTTCACTACTGGCTATAATTTTTGGCATTAAATGGTAAGCGTTTGAGGCTAACAGTTTTTCTGAAGAGTGAGATGGGAAAGGTAAGTGGAGATTATGTATCCATATATGGTATGCTTCCTAAAAATGGAGAACAGAAGTTTGGGCTTTTTCAGTGTTTATCCAAATGCATACATCCAAAATAGCAGAGAACTATGGACAAAGAAGATGCTAACAGAGTCCATCCATACACACGTGAAATGGACTCTTTTTATTCATGGAAATTCAGTTTTGAGAAGTGAAATCTACATATATATCTAGATATACAATACATGCGCCTCGCGGTGAGAGATCGAGGCGGAGAATGATCCTGCATTTCTGTCACCAAAACCTGTTCCTATCTTGCTCTCAGCATGAAACCTTGTCAATGGCAGAAAGGCCTCGGAGCTGTGGTGCTTTCGAGCCCCCCCGGGCCCGGGGGGTGTCTTTTCGCTTGCTGTTCTGTATGCGTCTCCAGCAACGACAACCGCCTTCTGGCTCTTGCACCCGAGGAGAATGCTTGGGAGCCGCTTTGGCTTCTCCTTGGCCACCAATTCTCTTCCATTTTGGATTGATCTGTGAAAGGTTGCTGAGGAGGAGAGAGTTTTTGGGTCTTCTGTGTCGGATGCTACGGAGAAATCAGCTGCGCTGGCTGTCACGACGCTCCACTCGATGCTGGCTTCGCTTGGGGCGTAAGATGTTGTTGGGGTGAGACAGGGAAGGAATGGATTGGAGCTGCCCGGGAAGCTCTCGATCTCGAACAAGTCTGAGCTTGCTTCGCTTGCTGTATCGTAGTCAATCCCGTTGGAGCTCAGGGGGTTTTCGGTCTCTGATCTTGGAGCAATTGCATCCCAAGCCACCATTGTTAGCCTTCTCTCAAGGTTGAAGGATTTCCTCCCTGCAGGCTTATTATCCAGTACAGGAGAGCCAAAAACTTCTATGGAGTTTCTCTTCATTTCCTCTTTGTCCTCTTGCAGCCTCTTCTTATTAGCCCCCTGGTTTCCATTTCTGGGATAGAAAACTGGGAAATCCTTGATTTCCACACTGTCTCTACTTCTGCTGAGGGGTGGCTTTTCGCCCTTTTTTTCCTCAACATCAAGAGAATTCTTGTCTTTGCAGGAGCAATAATTGCAGCCAATGCTAGCCAAGAAACTCTTCCTGCCAAATCTGCTAGAGTTCTTGGGCTGCTGATCAGTTCTTGGCACTTTCTGAACCAGCAAACTTCTGCTATTCCAGCTCGATTCAGATCGGGTGCTGGGAGTTCTTGGCCGGCTTTTTGGCTTCACAGGATCTACTACTACTACTACCTCCTCTGCTGGATCATTCTTCTTATTATGATGGTACTTTGGGGTGCTGGTTGCACCATTCCTAGGATGTTCTTCTTCTTCTTCTTCTTCTTCTTCCACTGCTTCTCTGAAGTACTTTTCTGCAGAAAAAACGTCGATTTCTCCGTCTTCTGCTTTGTTTGCCTCTAGATGGACATGCTTTCTGGTGCCAGAAATGAAGGGATTAACACCAATCTTGAGTTCAAAGCTTTCTTCATCACCACAGTTCAAGTATGAAGGAAAGGAGATGGCTTTTGTGGTTTTGGTGTTTGGTTCTGAAGTTAACACAACCATAGCCATTGAAACAAACAATTTTTTTGGGTACAGAAATAGTTTTTTGGTAATTTGTTTTTAACAAGCAAACAAAGAGGGAAATGATTCAATAGAAGAAGTATTATGAAGGCAGGTCTATTAAGGATCTGAGCTTAAACACTATATAGAATTTGAAAAGTTCTTTGAAGAAACAGAAATGGCTCCTCATATAATTATAGGATGAGATGGGACAGGGAGGGCTCCGTTACTTTCATTGAAGGAGACGTTAACAATTACATCTTAATTCCGAGAGTTTCTCATAACCTTTATCTTATAGGGTAAATCTTAGACGAAAATCATCACACAGAGTGCTGTACACATTTCTACTTTACATCCTATGACTGTCAACGAAGTTAAATCATTAATTTTTTTAGATTGGTTGACCAATTAAGTTATGTTCCAAAAGTGAAGCGAAAAAGATGTTAGCTAATAAAGATGGTAACTCTTCTCTTGATATCAAATCATCTTTACATAAGATTTTTGGTTCATTGTGATAGTGACCTTTGCTTGTTAGCACAATTTTAAGCAAATACCATGATTGGGTTGGTTAACATATATGACTATGCTTATTTTAATTCTTTATTTTTTTTTATTATTAAAAAAAAGGATTTTTTTTTTTTCAATTAGAACATATAGCTTATATATTGCACTGATTGTTTTGAATTTTTATTTTCTTTCTTTTTGTGTGTTTTTATTTTAACCTTGTCAAACACTTTATGATTTGATGACATTATTATTGGTCTGTGTAAGAAAGGTCTAGGTTCATAGTTTTATTCCAATCAGAGTTAACAGAATTGTTAAAGGGGTACTATTGATAAGTTGGAGTATACTAGGAAAAAAAATTTCTAAAAGTTCTGGATGATTTGAAAAAATATAAGCCATAAAAAGATACATGAGCATAGTTGTTCAATCAAAACCTCACAGCAGTGTCATTGTCCCAAATGCAATTAAAAATGAATTGATGGTAAAATTCTGGAATGTAAATACTTTGCCCCACTTAAAAGTTACTTGAAATTCACCAATTAGACAATTATCAATTAAGACTTACTTTTTTGACTAATTAAAAAAATTATACAAAAACTAATGGACTTTTTTTAAAATAAAAAAATAAAAAATTCCATCCATCTAAAGGTGATTGGAAACCTTAACAAAATTTAATTTTGAACCACTTTTTGAATCAAAAAATTGACAATCAATTTAAAGTTTAAAAAAGTTTACTTCTATATATATATATTTTCAATTTTAATTTTAATTAATTATTTTATTTAAAATTAGTTCTAAAAATTAATTTTAAAATCGGTAACCTACAATTTCAGGTAAACAGGTTATTTTGGACCTAATTGCATAATTTTGTGTTGTTCAGGGACCCAATTGCATCTTTTTAAAGTTCGGTGACCTAATTGCACTTTGATGTGCAGTTGGGTGACCTATTTGACCCTTATTTCTATTTTTTTCCAACTCAAATTAAGTGTTCTCTGTATCACTATTAGGAAAAAAGGTCAAATAAGCCCCTAAACTTTATCTGAAAAGTCAATTAAGTCTCTAAACTTTTAAAAAATTCAATTACACCATTGAACATGTTAAATTGAGACAACCAAGTCCAAGAATTGATAAATGACCTGCTATTACAGGTCATTTCAGTTTCTGGTGAACATTCGGCGACAGGCGAACCGTCGTCGGTCGCCATTTACTAGAGAAGGAGACTAGTTGGCCGCCTTCCATGGAGAAGGCGAACTGCTCGCCTTCCCCCAGCAGAAGGCGACCACCTTCTCATTTTGGTCGCCTTTCGCCGAGGGAAGGCGAACTGCTCGCCTTCTCCCTTGAAGGCGACCAACTCTGGTCGCCTTCTTTGGTAGTCGTCGCCGGTCACCAGAAACTTAAATGACATGTAATAGCAGGTCATTTACCGGTTCTGGACTTCATTGCCTCAATTTAACGTTGTCCAAGGGTGTAATTGAACTTTTTAAAAGTTTAGAGGCCTAATTGACTTTTTAGGTAAAGTTTAAGGGCTTATTTGACCATTTTTCCTCACTATTATTCCTTCCCAGGTTTGGACTCTCTCCTCTTTACTCGATCTTCCCTTCACAAAAAAAAAAAAAGTTTTATGAATTGAAATAATATACTCTTTGCTGATGAAATTCATAAATAAACTTTCATGTGTGGATGAACACATGTTCACTACAAATTAATAAATGTGATTTTCATGCGTCTCACATCGACTACTGATAAAAATCTGGGTCAATAGATGTATATCTTTCTTTGTGTGTCAAGATTTCAAAAAAGTTCTCTCATGGAATCAAACAAAATACTTTTCCCTTCTTGATGTCTCTACCTCAATCATGGATATTTTTTATTTTTGTTTTTGAAAAAAAAAAAAAAAAAAAACTCAATCATGGATTCTAATTTTCATCAGAACTTCTTAATTAAAATACAAACATTTTTTTGGGGGTAAATATGAGGACTAGTCAAATGGAGGGGCAATAGGACCTTGATCAATTTTCAAGTCTAAGCGCTTAAGGCATTCAAGTGGAGTTGGTCTATCATCATTTTATATAAAGGATAATTTAACACTGTAATCTCTCACTCGTTAGCCTGCCCAAAACTAGTTAAGGTAGAGTTCTGCACATTTGCAAATCTTAAGAGTCACTCTGTCGAAGACTATTTTTCTATTTTTTTGAGGAAACTGTTTTTCTATTGTCAACACGAAAAGTGAACACTTCATATACAACGTAAAATAAAGTCATTCCTAACCACCTTAATCATTGTTTCTGAATCTAATACCACTTTCATACATATGTTTGGCCAATAACACCAATTATCAAATGAACTAATGTATTTGAATTTTTTTTTTTTTTTGGTTTTGTTTTTTCATTGTGAAGAGAAAATCTAGCGGATGATGCGAATGGGAAAAAGACTAGAATGTGCGGTCAACAAGCCCAAATTTCCAAAATGTGTCGTATTTTTTTTTTTTTTTTGACAACAATATGCAAAACTCCTTTCGGAGTTGCGTTTTTGGTGTATTTTATTTTTTTCATGTATTTGTGTAAAACACAAGAGGCAGTTGCGTTTACGTATTCGTATACGTAAAACGCAATACGCTCTTGCGTTTTTCAGTGCATATGGTATCCCCAAAACGCAACTTACATTTGCGTTTTACGTATTATACGTAAAACGCAAAACCAAGTTGCGTTTTTGTCATTTTTTTGTACTGGCCGTCTCCGGCGAAGTTGAAGGCCGGCGAGAACTGTTCCAGCTTGAGGAGCATGCGCATAAGACGGGGACAGCTCGAAAGCATAGCGCCGTAGGATTATAGCTAATGCCATCTTGGCCTCTAACATGGCGAAGTTCTGTCCGATGCAAATCCGAGGTCCCCAGCCCAACGGGAAGAAGGAGAACTGCCCTTTGGTTGCTTTGCTAATCCCTTGGCTGAACCTCTCTGGGTTGAATTCCTTCGCATCTTCCCCCCACATTTCTTCGTCTTGTTGCAGCAGAATGAGTGGGATGAGGAAAGACAACGCATTTGGGTCTTGCGTTTTACGTATTTAAAAGTATAATACCTAAAACGCATCTCCCAATTGCGTTTTAACGTATTCCATACGTATTGTGAAAACGCAACTGGGAGATGCGTTTTTCGTATTCAATACGGAAAACGCAACTACCAGTTGCGTTTTACGTATTTAACGAAAAAAATACGGATTAAATACCTTCAAAAACGCAACTCGCAATAGAGTTTTGCATATTTCTGTCAAAAAAAAAGTCAGCACACATTTTGACAAATTCTCATCCCATTCTACATATTCTAGTCTTTTTCCCTGATGCGAATAGTTAAGGAAACCATCTAAAATGGGAATCATATATATTAATGCTTTGCCCCACATGAAGTTGGAGCTGGCCATACTCGATCACAAGTTGTACCAATGTAGTCCAAATTTTGTTTGGCCTGGACCAATATTGACCTCACAAAGTCCATGCATTACAACCAATTCTGACTCCACATAAAATGACAATAATATATGTTTTCCCTATTCTTTAATTTAATTAATGTTTATACTGGTGATGTGCATACACACATGCACCATGTCGGACATTTCTACTGCATGCAATAAATTACTCTTACAAAATTCTAATTAGGCATTTCATCAGACCTATTTTATGTCTGATTCAATTATACCACCGAAAAATTGTCCATTAATAGACGCTTCAAAGGTTTAAGTTATTTATAATTCAATTTTGTATAATATTTAATTCGTGGTAGTGAATAAAACTTAGCTTATATATTTAAAAATTATATTTAAAGTATTATTAAACACTCAAAAAAAATTTATGAAGAAATTAAAAAAATAAGTAAAGAAAAAAAAAGTTAGTAAACAAGACATGTAAAATGAAACAGATTGAATATTATTTTTAGCAAAATGGTAACTTTTTTCTTAAAATTATCCTCTATGTTCACTTTCTTGTATGGTATTATTAGTTTTAAAAATATATATATATTTATTGATTGATCCTACCACGACTTGATATGTTGATACCATAACTTAATAAGCAGGCTCGGCTCTAGCTCGATTTATGGTTGTTTACTACATAACCACATAAGGGTTTTGATTTTTATAATTTTTGGATTGTATCTCTCTCTCTCTTTTTTCTCTCTTTTTAATGAATACTGATATTGTATCTTTTTTCTCTCTCTTTTTAATGAATACTTATATTGTATAAGAAGTTTTTTATTTTATTTTATGTTGTTAATAAGTAATATATTTTTAAATTATTGCACAAGACCCTAAAATTATTTTAAAGAGAATATCTATTAAATGACAGTCAAAATTATGAGATAAATTTATTAACATTGGATATTGATCATAATTTTCAAGAGATTAATTTCAAGTGGTCATAATTGTGGGCAAGATTAATTTGGTTTAATGTGATTATGCTTTATTGCTATATACACGATTTGATTAATTGCAATTGGTCGACTTTTCACCTTTGTAGGTAAAACTCATCACCTATTAGTTACAACTTTATATTGATAATCATAATCATCATTCAACCAGATCATGAAACCACAAGTTTTTGTGCGCAGTGAGCAAAGGTCTAGCTAACATTTGTGGTTCATGTTTAGTTGAGTTACCATGATTTACATCCTCCCAACTACTATATCGGGTCGGGGAGTGGGAAGTCCTTGGGGTTGGGGTTCAACTTTTTGGAAGAATGATACCACAAGTTTATGAATTTTAATTAAATTTGATCATTCAAAAGATTATTAAATCAAAAAGTAAATGTTTAGTACATCTAAAAAGGTAAGATAAGTTATTCTAAAGTTACAAATCTATGTCACTCGGTTACAAAGTCCATATCAACAAAGAGGGGACATACATTAAATACGGATAAGTAAATATGACTCATCAACATATATGTCAAATCTACTCACAACACTTTATATGGTCTTTCCTAATCTCCCGACTTACTCTTTTTCTCAGTGCGTGTATATAATTATACACTTTTCACTCTATTTTCTACTCTTGCTGGCATTGCACACTTAGGGATGGCAATTTCAGTCCGCAAGCGGATATCCACCAAATCCATCCCGCATGGGTTTGCTGGCACTGCACACTTAGGGATGACAATTTCAGTCCGCACGCGGATATCCACCAAATCCATCCCGCATGGGTTGAGTTTTTTGAATGATACATACTTGGTTGTGGGTCAGGAAGAGTAAACCCGCAGTGGATCGGATTGTATTTGGATTCTATGTACAAAACCTACCTAGAACCACACCCAACCAACTGTGTGTGTCTATATATATATATATGACATACTATTAATTATTTATAAAAGTTTATATAACTCCATGTAACATTTAACTATTTTTATATTTAAATTACTAAGTTTATTTTTAAAAATTAACAATTTAGTTATTATATTGAAATATTTCTATTAATTTATGTTTTTAGTATAACAATGAATTTTATTTTTTATATTATGTGTAAATTAATTTAAATATTAATTTTTTAAAAATTAATAAAATTATAAGTAGTGAACACCCGCACCCGCTAGGATAGAACCTGATAAGAGTTTGGTGTGAAGATGAGTGGAGAAAATATAAGTTGAGTCAGGTGATGGATGTAACCTTCTCCGACCCACCCGACCCATTTCCATTCCTAGGCACGCTTCAATTCATCCAATAAAAATTTCTCTTTCTTCAATAAAACAATGTACTTCAAGAAAATGCCAAATAATGAATCGGAGATAAAAATATCAGCATTTAATTGAAAACCCAAAATCTCACATTTGATTCATTGAATATAATACATATTTGATTCTTCATTTGCAAGTCTGTCTACATCAGGAATAAAATTATAATACACATTGTCACATTCAAAATATAATACATACTTAAAATATTAACGCATTCAAAATAAAATTTCGACTATAATAATATGTTAAGAAGTATGAATATATGACCCACAAAAATTTTGAGAAAAATGAACAGTACACTAATTTTATCATGAGGTTGTGTCTTTTGACATGAAAGCAAAAGCTGGTTTCCCAGAAAGGGTAAAACCACAAAAAGAACATAATGTTACACTACTAAATTTATCCCTCTGCAATAAGGAAATAAATTACACCATACAACCTACTACTCAATATGTGAACCTGTTGAGGACCAAAATTTCCTGTGGTAAAATGAATGGTGCACAGGTAATCAAAGTGCTTAATTGTATAATCCATACCATTGAGCGAGCCGTTCCTCGTCTTCCATGCCAGCATTCTCAGATCATCATCGCGTGGAAGTGGAGTTGTTATCGCCCACAGTCCAGTACTGCTTCACTGCAACCAGGATTTTCTCGGGAATGAGGGGCCCGTCTTCGTGGTCCATCAGTTTGAAGTCCCATCGCATGCCTCCGATTATCTTCCTCACCTTTATCAGCACGTCCACTTCGTCCCTGAAAATAACCGCGCCTTCTGGGCGTAGAATTCGGTCCATCTCTAAAAGAATGTCTTCAAAATCACACCTGTATAGTAGGATTTGTGTTCATTATATTGTCAAGTGCCAGAAGGTCTTCCTGTTCAGATTTTAGCTTCTATATATGTACAAACACGACTTCTAAATGCAAGAACCTAAAAGAAAAGAATACTTACTTATCCTTGTATAAACTGAAGACACCGCTAGCATGAATGAGATCATAAGTCCTCGGGTACGTGGAGAAGCCTTCACACCTGTCAGATAAGACATCAATGAGCATTGAGCAGACAGTATATATATAACACCCAAAGTAAAGTATGCATAAGAGAGAATCATACCAATCGTGGTAGATACCGATCATTCCTCGTTCATATATAACACCCAAAGTATTTTTCTTGGCGATTGTGGGCATGACATTCATAACCCATGTCTTGGGAGATGTAAGCTCTGCAGCGAAACCTCCCAATCCGGCATTCATATCCAGTATGTTACGATACCTTCCCGAGTCAAGGAGTTTATTGATTTTTTTGTAAGCACTGACATGTTTCTTCCACTTTCTGTTGTCTTCTTGATATTGCTCAGCCGAGATTCCTGAGACTAACCCACTGGCAATTCTCGGGGGAACACTATTCAGTCTCTCTGGGAATGGCTTGAGAGTCTCATCAACGTTAGGTGGTTTGGGTGATTGAGTTATGCATGTCTCCATCTTCTTATACCTGTAAAAGAAAACGGAAAATCAGGCATATGGAATGTATGAATAATTCTCCTTTTTCTTTTCAACACTAGAAAATAAATGCTAATGCCATATGGAATGAATTATGTGTTGAGCATATAGCCATTAATGTGCAATCCAACTATAAGCTTAGGCTTTTAGTTGAGATGGAGCACATGCTTCAATTTGGTATCAGAGCCATATTAGCTATATGCTCAACACGCCCCCTCACGTGTGTGGTGGGTTCCAAGCAACACATGAACCGTAGTCGCTTATGGGTGGCGATGAGATTCAAACCCATGACCTTTGGCATGGCTCTGGGAGGAAATGCTACAAATCTATTGGAATTTTGAACGAATATGACTCAAAGATTAAGTTTCTACCACATACCAAACATCATCAGGGTCTGCAGATTCACAGAATTTAGCTCTAGAATTCTCTTGTGCCGCACGGCATGAGTCAGCATCCATCCTCTTCTGCCAAATTGCAATTTCACCGTTCTCAGACTTCTTCTCCCAGCAGAGAAGTTTAGCAACCTCTTCAATTTTCCTTTGTTCTTCGCGAAGTTCCTCTTCAGGACGTTCCCAAGCTTTGTAGTTATTTTTCCAATTGATAGGAGGACCAGAAAGAACCCAGTAACCACCAGGTCTAAGAACTCGATCAACTTCCATCATGAGGATTCCATCTGTCAACGAGAAAGAGCAAAGATCGTTCAGGGGTCGCTGCTATAATTCAATAAATAGTAGATTTTGTGCACCAAAAATTCATTTTTTTAAGGGGCAGTTTGAGTGTATGATTCTTACCAGCAGCTCCCCAGGGGATTAGACAACGAGAACAATGAGCCATATCAAATGCTCGGGCAGGATATGGCATCTTGATGGTCCCGAGGACACCAATAACAGCAGGGACACCCCTTTCAAGGGCAAACTGAACCTGAGCTTCATGTGAGTCTCTCGGGGCAAATGACATAGCTATAACATTCTTCTTCCAGAGATAAGCGCCCCAACTTGCAACCTATGATTACAGTGCATTCATTAGTTCAGACAAACAGCAAGAGCTTATAATGATGTCTCGGGTTTGGGGAGATTTTTATAGGAAACATACCCCACAACCAGTGTCTAATGCAGTCCGGACAACCCCATTATCAATCGGGATCACTGAAGCGAGCTGATCGATATATTTATCTGCTCCTTGAGGAAACTGAGTCCCTCCTCCCGGGAACCTAAACACATCCCCCTCGTACTGAATCCAGTTTTGAATGGCCTTCTCCACCGTCAAGCTCTTGTACGGCGCATTAGCATAAGGAACATAGTCACGACTCTTTGGCCACGAAAACGGGGTAACATATCCTTTAGGTGCTGGAATAAGGCAATGCAGCTTCTCTTCCTGAGGAGGGCAATGCCTTTCTCGGTAGTTCATATTTTCTCTCGGGAAAGTCATGGCACGGCTTTGATCTTGGCACGGGGTGTAATCGGTGTAGCGAGCATCACAAGGCTCGATTTCTTTCACTTTTGAGTCCGGTTCATCAACACCACCGGGCGGACCACCATGATGGCTCTCGAAATTGAGATTTGGCATGACATTGCAGTCATCCGTGGTCTTAGTCACCTCCAAAGCTATGCTGTCTCCCTTCCCGAACCCACTCCTTTGCCATGCTCCCAGTAAATAGAAGAAACAACAAAGACCAGCTATAATAAATATCGACACAGAACTCCTAGTCCGATTGTCCCCTGACACTGGTTTGTTTGCCATTACAACCCTGAAATAGTTTCCACAATAATTTAGCAAGGGCAAACAAGAAAAGTAACACAGACCATCAAAATACTCCAAATCTAGTCACTTAAAGTAAATATTAGGTCCTCCCCAAAGGAAAATTGGTTATGAAAGGTAAATAGAATCTAGAGAACTTTTGAATCAGCTCCCAATCCAACAAGATCTAAATGCACAGATGGATCTCTCAAGTCTCAACCTCCAAACAGGATTCACTTGACAACCTCAATAAATGCAGATCCAGGGTAAAAAAAACTACTATATTCTCACCCACCAATCAGAATAATCAGATCAACTGTTTTTGCTTTCCAATGAAAAGAAAGATACGATCTTGTCGTTAATGCAACAATCACCAAAAATTCCAATCACATTCAGACAAAATAAGCTTGCCAATGTGAGAAAACAATATGAAAGAGGCATAATATTAATACTGTATCATACAAAAAAAGAAAGACTCAGCTTCTAGATTAGACCAATTAACCATAATAGCTCATCCAAGAACAAAACTTTATCGCAAAATCCACAAAACCAATTCTACAGTCATGCATCGCAACCTAAAAAAAGTGCAGATTTCAAACAAGGATAATATGTAGAAGAATGTATAGGATCAAATCGCATTACCAATGGCATAAAAGAAATCAGGAAAACACACTGTTCTTGGACGATCTTCAAGCGCCGCTGCTTTTCGCTTTATGGAGGCGTAGTCCTCAATCAAGAATATTGAAACAGAGCCCACCTACAAAGATTTTAGGGGAAGAAAGAAGTAAGAAAATTCACTCGCGAACCTTATCTCTCTCTTGATCTTGAAGATCAAGCTGGGCTGTCTCTCCCTTTAACTCTCCTTGTGGTAGAGGGAGTCCGAGTAGAAAGGATACTAAATAGTGATCAAAAATACGACAAAAGTGAAATCTTGGATCTTCGATCTTTGGTTCTTTTCCTCCCAAGTGTTTTGTTCCTCCGATAAATAATCATGTCTAAACTCTAAAGCGCGTTTGCTACAGTACAAACCACGTCTGGACGTTTAAAATGCGATCCAATCAGGACGCAGATCAGATCATCCTAGCGGGACCCACGCAAGAATAAAGATGCAGTTCAATTTATCATCTACACCATTTTTAGATGTCGGTTTCATTGTTTTTAGTATTATATCAACGTTATGAGGTAGTATCTATTTGTATTTTTTTTTTCTCTCTTTATTGAATCCCATCCCCATTCCGACAGAATATTTAGGAGAATATAAATCACAGTAACTCAATGATTCAACGAACATGGCCAAATGTCGATGCGCACAATAAATTTACCCACTCTGAACACAATGATGTAATATCTATTTGTATATTTTTTTTTTCAATTTAGTTACAGTTATGTTGGTTTCTAATATGCTATATGCCTTGGCATAATTTTTTTTTTTTTGGAATAAGGTTCAAATTGGCCACTGAACATAACCTGAAAATGTAATTAGGCCACTGAACGAAAAAAAAGTGCAATTAGACCACTGAACACTCCAAAAATGTGCAATTTCACCTGATAGCAGGTTACCCTCAATTTTAACAGGTTATCTGCTTACGTGGCAGCTGAGTTGCATTTTTAATAAATTTTAAATTATTTTTAATAAATTTTAATAATAAATTTTTATTTAAAAACATTTTTAAAAAATAAAAACGACTTTATTTTATTTTTTTTTCAATTTTTTTATAAAATTTATTATTAAAATTAATTATTAAAAATTATTAAAATGCCAACTCAGCTGCCACGTAAGCAGGTAACCTGCTAAAATTGATGGTAACCTGCTATCCGGTGAAATTGCATACGTTTGGAGAGTTCAGTGGCCTAATTGCACGTTTTTTAAGTGTTCAGTGGCCTAATTGCACTTTTTGTTCGTTCAGTGGCCTAATTGCATTTTCAGGTTACGTTCAGTGGCCAATTTGAACCTTATTCCTTTTTTTTTTTTTTCCTTTTATGCATTAAATTCTCGGTTGAACTAATCTTAAGTCAAAAAATTTCGACCCGCTTTTATCGGAAATGGTTCTTACTTTGGTGAGAATTGACAAAAATGGGCCAAAATGACCATTTTTTAAAGAAAAAAATCGTGGATCGAGATTACAAGGTTTGAAACTCGTGGAGAAAACCTAAAAGTGTCACTATAGTCATGGAACCAAAAGTGTGAAAACTCTTTTAAGTAAGAGTTAATACCCAAAATCGTCCTCAACTATAGTGGTTTTTCTCAATTTCGTCCTAAACGACTTTAGTGACTTAATATCGTCCCAGACTTTTGTGTTTCGCTCAATTTAGTTCCAGACTTTTGTGTTTTTGCTCAATTTAGTCCCTCATTTGTTATTCTGTCCATTTGGTGTTAAATAAATAGACAATTCAGTAATTTTAATATTGGCATCTCTTTACTCATAGACATGTGAACTGCGAAATCTTTTTTTTTTTTTTTTTTTTTTACGAATTACTCCCAGAATTACTCCTAAAACTGCGAATATAAAATTTGATTTGCAGGTTCAGGAGTAATTCTGGGTGTAATTCATACAAGAAATAGGAATTTCGCACTTCACAAGTTGAAAGTAAAGAGAGATCAATATTGACATTACTGAATTGTCCCTTTATTTAACACCAATTTGACGAAATAACACATGGAGGACTAAATTGAGCGAAACACAAAAGTCTGGGACGATATTAGGTCACCAAAGTCGTTTAGGACGAAATTGAGAAAAACCACTATAGTCAAGGACGATTTTGGGTATTAACTCTTTTAAGTAATTATTCGTTTTCTATTTCTTGAAACAATCAAACATTGAACTAAGATTATTTCTATAATCATATGTTTATTTCCTTTTGCGAACAAAACACTATAATAAAATTCTTATTATATTTATTGTGCTATAAAATTTTTTAAAAAAATATTTGTCACCAAAATCTTTCATAATATACCATGGCAATATAAATATATTCATTCTTTAATGTATAGTTAAAAGTTAAATTAGTCAATTCATAATAATGTAAATGGTAATGGAACACTCCTTTAAGTTTAATTTAATTCACTACTTAAATTGGAATCAACGTGGAGACATTGATTTGGTCCAATGGTCCAAGTAAAGAACTAAATTAATGATTGATTGGCATATGGCGACCTTAACTTTGAAATTCTTATTTTTGACATTTAAATTATATACCCCACATTGTATGATGTATTTAATGTGTACTTTTGATAACGTTGGTCGGGAATAATAATTATAATAAATCAAATTTGGAAAGTATTATTGATGGAATTAATTAAACTAGGGGTTCAGATTAATTAACCCGAATAAATGTAACAAGTATATAATTAAACGATAATAGGGGTACGAATATAGTTACGGGGACTGATATTGTATTAATTGTGTATGAAGTGCTATTATAGAGGTGTAACACTATTACAAGTAGTAGTTTAGGACAAAAGGTAGAACATGATCTGTAATGCCGAGACAATGCAATATTTATACAGGACATGAGCCAACAAACTTTCCTAAAATCATGGTAAGCCACCAAACTAGGTGCGCCCGTGAGACTAGGTCAAGGCCCACCATTCTGGGCCTCGGTCGCTCGGGCTATGCACTCCTAGACTCGGGTCCCTATTATTGCGCCATATATTTTCAATATATCCATCAATTATAATGAACATTATTTTTAAAAAATAATGCGGGCATATGTAAAATAGAACCCATGCTAGAAATTCTTACAATTGTAACTCTTATATTAGACACATTTCATGACGTGTTATCTTTTTACTGGATAATGTAGATTTCTTTTTAATTCGGGAGAGGTAATCAATTCATCAATAATTCATGAAAATAAATAATTTTTATTTTTAATTCTGGAGTGGCTAATAGGAAATAGTAATTGTAAGGGAATCAAATTTCTATAAAATATTACTTGGTAAATTTTGATGGAAAATACTTTATACTAGGCTACCTCTACAATTATCGTTCCATATTAGTCAATTCTGAATTTTTTTTAAAATATTTATTTTCATAGATTAGTAGTAAATTGACTGACTACACCCTAGGTTAATAATATATATATAACATGTTAGAAAGTGATTTAAAAATAATAATAATAAAGAGTGATAATTGTAAGGATTTTTATTATGGCTCACTTTTGATGGGATAGATATATACTCTTATGTCCACCCCATTCAATCCTGAGAGGGGAAGACAAGATTAAAAGGGAGTTTAGGCATTAATTTATTACTATAAAACAACAAATTTACTCTTTAATTGTTTATATGCATACAAATTAATCCAATAGGAACACATCATCTACGAGTTTTTCCTCCATAACAAGGATACAGTTCTAAACTCGATCAATTTCTCATATAAAACTATTTTTGAACTTATTTCTTAAATAGGGATAGTTTTATGTTTTAATATATATAATAACTATTGAATTTTAGTAGGTAATTTAAATATTATTTTTATTTTTTTAATAAGATAATAAATGGTAAGTACCCGTATGTGAATTTTAAAAAGTTTACACGCTGCAGACTATGGGTAGGAATGTGTGAAAAAATATAAGGTAGGTTAAGTCGTCAATGTAATCCTGCTCAAACTACTCTCAACCTATTGTCATTTCTAATTCAAGTTGGTTATATTAGATAATTGAGCCGGTTAACTATGAGTAACATATGTTAATTTACTTCCTTGTGGTCATTTCTATGAGGTTACTTAATAAGTTGGAGTAAGGTTCAAGTTGGCCACTGAACGTAACCTGCAAATGTAAATTAGGCCACTGAATGAAAAAAAAAAAATGCAATTAAGCCATTGAACACTCAAAAAAGTGCAATTAGACCACTGAACACTCCAAATGTATACAATTTCACCGGATAGCAGGTTACCATCAATTTTAGCAGGTTACCTGCTTACGTGGCAACTGAGTTGACTTTTTAATAGTTTTTAAATAATTTTTAATAAATTTTACAAAAATTGAAAAACAAATTAAATAAAAAAAATAAAACGGGGTGGCCCTTCGTCAAGGAAGAGGGGGGTGTGGGAAGGGGGTGGCCGCGTTTTTGTTTTTTTTTTTTTGTTTTTTTTTTTAAAGTTTTTTTTATTTATTATTAAAATTTATTAAAAATTATTTAAAATATCAACACAGGTGCCATGTAAGCAGGTAACCTGTTAAAATTGATGGTAACTTGTTATCAGGTGAAATTTCATACATTTAGAGTGTACAGTAGCCTAATTGCATTTTTTTTTTCGTTTAGCAACCTAATTGCATTTTCAAGTTACGTTCAGTGGCCATTTTGAACCTTATTCCCAATAAATTTTATTCAAAATATATTTTCAAATAGTGGTTGTGACGGCAAATTATGTTGTGTATCCGTGTGCACCATGCATGGTGTACACGGATGCAAAAACAACATCATTTTATTTTTTTAAAAAAAAATCATTTTCGATTGTCGTTAGTTACGTAAATATATGTTCATAATTTTATAATTTCACATTCTGAATGTATAGTTATGAAGTATTGAAGTTATGGATGTGTAGTTATGCAATTCTGAATGTATAGTTATGAAGTTACTGGATGTGTAGTTATGCAATTTTGAATGTATAGTTATGAAGTTATGGATGTATAGTTATGCAATTCTGAATGTATAGTTATGCAATTCTGAATGTATAATTATGAAGCTATAGATGCATAGTTCAAATTATGAGCAACATAACGCCATTAACGACAATCAAAATTAATTTTTTTTAATTGAATGTTAAAACGATGTCGTTTTTGTAACCGTATACACGGTTAACTACTGGAGCTTGTAGTTCAAAGAATTGAAAGAATTGAGAAATGATAACATCGGTAAAATAAATTACATTTCTCCAGCTAACATGGTCCGCACGTCACTGCTGATATGCAGCATGACAGCTATATATATATATATATATATATATATATATATATATATATGAGAGA